TGTATAACTATACAACCAGTCACTGCCCGGCACCCGACATGTGCCTAATTCTACAGGGTCTGAGGTAGGATTCAAATACTAAGAATTCATAAAACATAGTGAACGTGAGGTAGGGATATATAAAATACAATGAACGTAAGGTAGGGATATATGGCAAGTATAGCTTCTTAAGTCACTCGGGTCCCTCATGCTCTGTCCCAGAGACTGCTCCCAGCTGCTGGCATTTGGGTAAGAACTTGGGGGTTGAGATGAGGTGGGAGGCAGAGACGTTAAGTACAGAACCTCTTAGCAAACCTGGAATGGGTGGGGAAAAGTAGAAATAATCTCAGCATGTTTGGCTACAATGCTCCTGTCACCAAAACAAAGTAGTGTTTCTGCCACCAAGACAGCCCTGGCTTTTCCTGCTGGGGTCAAACTGGGTTCTTCAGAGAGGCATCTCTGCTCTATAGGCAAAATCCAAGTGATGCATTTCTAATATGTGACCATACTGACTGTTATTGTCATTCATGCAGGGAGACTTCAGAAAGAATGGTCCCTTCTTCACTATCCCACTGGGGCCCCAACCCAACTGGAGAGCCCAGGAACCATCCTCAAAATGCTGTGAAAATGGTCTGAGCGAGTCCTTGCACCCGGGTCCTCATCAAAGGAAATGAAACTCGTTTTTCACTCTGACTTTTCCCCCAAAGTCTTCTTCAAATTTGCATCAACTTATCAAATTTGTATTGAACATGTATTTTTTTGTTTTTAAAGACAGGGTCTCACTCTGTTGCCCAGGCTGGACAGCAGTGGTGTGATCATGGCTCACTGTAGCCTTGAATTCCTGGGTAAAAGCCATCCCCCTACCTGGGCATCCCAAGTAGCTGGGACTACAAGTGTACGCCGCTGTGTCTAGCTAATTTTTATTATTTTTTTAGAGACAGGATCTTGCTATGGTGCCCAGGTTGGTCTCAAACTCTTGGGCTTAAGCAGTTCTCCCACCTTGCGCTCCCAAAGTGCTGGGATTGTAGGTGTGAGGCACCACATCTTCTTTGGAAAGACTCACGAGGGTTCTGAAAGTCAAAAATGTTGAGGATGAACCAGAATACTCTAAATGCCACACTCAGCCAAGGGCATTCCTGGCAGAGCAAACTCGGGTCTCTCAACATGGGGCAAGTCATTGGAAGACAAAAACACGGCAGGTCTGTTCCCTGCCCTCTGAGGGCAGCCAGGTGGGGCCAGGGGCAGGGGCAGTTGATTCTGTTGCCATCTGTTGTTTGTCTTCCTTATCTTCTAATACCCAAGCGCAGCCTCAGCTTTGCACAAACTGTCCCTGACTTCCAATTCCCTGTCTTCGTAGTTTGTCAGCCTCCCATCAGCACTCTCGGATGCCTTGGGCCCTACATTCGCCAATCTTTATAGTATTAGGGAAGAATGTTTCTCCTCAGCAGGCCTTCTTTTTTGGGGGGCGGGGGTGGAGTCTGGGTCTCACTCTGTCACCCAGGCTGGAGTGCAGTGGCATGATCACGGCTCACCACAGCCTTGGCCTCCTGGGCTCAAGTGATACTTCTGCCTCTCATCCGCCCAAGTAGCTGGGACTACAGGCATGTGCCCCCACACCTGGTTGATTTTTGTTGGTGGTGGTGCCTACGCTGGTCTTGAACTCCTAGGCACAAGTAGTTCTCCCGCCTCGGCCTCCCAAAGTGCAGGGATTACAGGTGTGAGCCACAGTACCCAGCCAGGCTTTTTCTTTTTCGTTGCAGTCAACTTTTCGCTTTCTCTAGCACTTTAAGATGCTCAAAATGTCAGGCAAAAACAACACAAAGCCAGGCACCCAGGCACCCTTATGACGTGAACTTGTCAAGAAAATGTTATTTTCCATCTCAACGTCCTCAAAGACTTCTGTGGGGACGGTCAGTTTTCACTTGTTTATTTATGCATTATTCACCTTTCAAATGACCTGGATTCTGGAACTAGTTGAAATTTCTCAGACTTAGTTTAGGTTGGTTTTCTTTTTTCTTTTTTTTTTTTTTTTTTT